CCGATTAACAACATGGACCGTTAACAGGCCAATAGTAAGGTTGGGCTGGAATTGTGCCTCAGTGACATGGGCCGCTAAGAGGCCAAAAGTCAAGCTGGGCTATATATGGCCCAACTCTGTTGTGGGCCTTTAGCAGTCCGAAAGACACACCGCGCTGGTATTGGACCATGAAGAGTATGGGCCATTAAGAGGCTAAAACTCAAGTCAGACTATAAATGGCCCAACTCCTATGTGGGTTGTTGATAACCCACAAGTATAGGGGATCGTTTGTAGCCTTCTTCGATAAATAAGAGTGTCGAACCCAATGAGGAGCTACATGTAGAACAAATATTCCCTCAAGTTCTATCGACCACTGATACAACTCTACGCACACTTGATGTTTGCTTTACCTAGAACAAGTATGAAACTATTTTGCAAGAATAAAAGTACGAGTACTTTGCGAGAATAAAACTATGAATAAATTACAAGGTAATAAAAGTGGATAACTTTTGTCAGCAAGAAAGTATTTGTCCCTAGGTAATCGTTAACAACTACCGGTAATCATTCCTACAATTTTATATGAGGGAGAGGCATGAGCTAACATAATTTCTCTAATTGGATCATATGCACTTATGATTGGAACTCTAGCACGCATCCGCAACTACTAAAGATCATTAAGGTCATGAAACCCAACCATATCATTAAGTATCAAGTCCTCTGTATCCCATACGCAACAATCCACCTACTCGGGTTTAAGCTTCTGTCACTCTCGCAACCCACCATAAGCGAATCATGAACGTATTGCAACACCCTACAGCAGGAATCCCTCACGTTTGCGTGAGACGAAGGGCACCATAGGATAGCACCATAAATAAAATATACAATCATACCAACCAAGATCACGATTAACCCATAGCACAAAACCTATCTACTCAAACATCATAGGATAACCAAATATGATTGAGAAATAATATATGGAGTTGAGCACCATGTTTAAGTAGATATTACAACAGGGAGAAGAGGTGTTACACTGCTGCATAGAGGTGGGGACAGTTGGTATTGACGGTAACAAGATTGTTGATGTAGATCGCTGTCACGATCCTAGCCCCGGAGGCACTCTAGCGCCACCAGGAGAGAGGGGGAGAGAGCCCCCTCCTTATTCTTCTTCCTTGGCCTCCCCCCTAGATGGGAAGATAGTTCCCCCTCTGATCCATGGCCTCCATGGAGGCGGAGGGGCAGGAGCCCCTCCAATATTGGATCTCCCTCTCTGTTCTCTTCTGTTTCGCGCTCCCCAGATATAGCCCTTCACGGTTTCTTAAATTCCCGGAGATCCGTAACTCCGATTGTGTTGAATTTTTACATGATTTTTTTCATAAATTATCTTTCTTGTGCCAGAAGAAGGGCCCCAACTGACCTTCAAGGAGAGCATAAGATACTTGGGCGCGCCAGGGGGTGCCCGACGCGCCCTGGTGGGTTATTCTCACTGTGGTCCCTCATTTGCGTTGATTCCACCTCCCAAAAATCATAAATATTCCAAAATAATTCTCCGTAAATTTTTATCGCGTTTGGACTTCGTTTGATATGGATTTTCTGCGAAACAGAAAACATGCAACAAACAGGAACTGGCACTGGGCACTGGATCAATAGGTTAGTCCAATAAATCATATAAAAAGTTGCCAAAAATCTGTGAAAGTTGTATAATATTTGCATGAAACAATCAAAAATTATAGACACGATGGACACGTATCAGCATCCCCAAGCTTAATTCCTGCTCGTCCTTGAGTAGGTAAATCATAAAAAAATAATTTTTGATGTGGAATGCTACCTAGCATAAACTTGATCATATATCTAATCATGGTATGAATATTAAGATATGAGTGATTCAAAGCAATAGTTTATAATTTGACATAAATACATTAAAACTCAGGCATTCCAACAAACAATCATGTCTTTCAAAATATCAACGCTAAAGAAAGCTATCCCTACAAAATCATATAGTCTTGTCATGCTCTGTCGTCCTAAAACAAAGTATAAATCATGTACTATCCCAGTGTCAGCCAAACAATTGGTTCATACTTTTTAATGCACTTCAGATTTTTCAACCCTCATGCAATACATGAGCAGCACTTGGTGGTGACATTTCTGATACCACACTACATTCACCCTCCCCTTCCCACCCCTAACCCTAACCACGCCGCCAGCCGCCCCTCCCCGCTCCTCCCCCGCTTCGCTGCCACCGGAGGGGACACCAGCAAAGCCCACGTGGTCCCCAGGGAAGGTGGCGGCGGGGCGTACTTGCCATTCTCGCGCAGATCTCGCGGCGGCCGGTGGCGTGCGGCGGTGTTCCGCCGGGGGTTGGCGCTTGCTGCCCATGAGTCCGCGTCCCTCACGGCGGCGGGGCTGCCCCTGAACGGCGCTTGGTGGTGGCCACGTGGCGACACACGGGTGGCCGGATCTGGGCTTCCGATCTGCGTCCTCGTCGTGGCAGTGCTTGCTGTTGCCCTCGGCCATGAGGCGTGGTCCGGGACGGGCCTAGCACCAGTGGTGCTGGCTAGGACGCATGCTGGCAGCGCCCTACTTCATCTCGCATCGTCTCGTTGGCCAATTGTGGTGGTCATATTCATTGTCAAAGATGGCCGGCCAGAGGCTTGGTGTCCCGGCTGCGAGTTGGGGAGACATGGTTGCCGGTGAAAACTGAGCCATTGCCAGGCGATGGCGGCGTTCTACGTTGTTACCTGGATGGTGGCATTGTCGTGTAACTACCTTCGACCCACTCGTGCTGCTCTGGGGGAAACCCTAAGATCCGGTGTTCCAGATCAAACGATGGCACTACGGCATCGTTTCTCTCTTGGGAGCATCGTTTGTGGAGCAGCGCCAGAAGTCAGAGACAGGAGGTGGAGCGGCTTCGTCTTGCACGGAGCTTCAGTGGAGATGTCAAGTCATGCCTGACTGACAGGTGCTACGCTTTGTCATGCCTAGTCGGCAGGTGCTACGCACGATAGATCTTCCAAAGACTTCAAGCTGTGTCGGGTGGTGGTACTTGGCAGCATGGTGCTGAGGTGTATCAGTGGCGACCGCAACGTGCACAACTATTTCCGCGCAGGGAGGAGGTGCTGTTGGGCGCCGTGGTGGCGTTGATGATAGCTAGACCGACCAATGTTGATGCATCAGTACAGTTCTGAAGATGGAGCGGTGGCAGTTGGTGGCGGCGACCTCTGAGAGCACGCTAGACCGGCGAGATCCATGCCCGACAGGCGTCCTAGATGGGTGTTCAGGTCTTAGATGTTAGGTTTGGCTGCAATGTCTATTTGGTATTAGGCCCAGGCTATCTGCTCCCCTTCATCAACTGGATAGGTGTAGCGATAGTTTGTTTCTTAGACGGCGGCTTAGTCTTACTGTGGTATTACTTTGTAAGGTATTGTGAGAATAATTAATAAAGTGGCCATATGCATCGCCCAGATGCAGAGGCCGGGGGTCATCCTACTTTTCTAAAAAACACAATACATGAGCGCAAGCCATGGATGTAGCACTACGGGTGGAATAGTGTATGATGGTAGGGGTAAATATAGAGAAGACAAAAAAGTAAGAAAGTCTCACATCGATGCGGCTAACCAACAGGCTATGGAGATGCCCATCAATTGATATCAATGCGAGGAGTAGGGATTGCCATGCAACGAATGCACTAAGAGATATAAGTGTATGAAAGCTCCATATGAAAACTAAGTGGGTGTGCATCTAATCCTATAATGAAAAATTCCCGCTAGTATATGAAAGGACAACATAGGAGACTCTCCATATGAAAAACATGGTGCTACTTTGAAGCACAAGTGTGGAACTAGCATGCCCCTTCTCTCTTTTTCTTTTTTTCTTCTTTCTTTCTTTTTTTCTTTGTCTTTCTTCTTCTCTTTTTTCTTTTTTCTTTTTTTCTTATATATATATATATATATATATATATAGAGAGAGAGAGAGAGTAACACTATTCTGATTCTGGGATCAGAATAGTTATTTGGATCACGATATCCCTATATAGAAGCCGACGAGGTCCTCCCGAACTCCTGAGAAAAAAAGCGGCCAAACTGACCCAACCTGCTTCCTCGTTCGGCAACTCCCACGATGCGCCGCCCCTCCCCGCCCCCGATCCCGCATCCTCTGCTGCACCGTCGCGCACCCCGTTCCAACCCCGCCTCCTCCATCGCGCCGCCGCGCAACCCTCCCCAACTCCGCCTCCTTCACCACGCATCGTCGCCCCCAGCCCCGCCTCCTTTGCGGTGCATGCCCACCCCGAAAACGCTGCCACCTCCGCCCTACCGCCATGCGTCTCTGCCGCCCACCGCCTCCCCCAGTGCGCCGCCCACCTCCAGCCCGCGAGCCCCGGTGAACTTCCGCCTACAGTCCCCTCCCCCTTCTCCTACTCCGGCTCTGCCTGCTGACGCACGTCGCCACCAGCCGTGCGCTTAGGTGCCTCCTGCCATCTCGAGGCAATGTGCGCCGCCCCTCCTTCTCTTCTCCTTCCGGTGAAGCTCCATGTCACCACCGTCTGCCCACTCCGGCCACCAACACGCAGCAGTTGTTCTTCTTGCGATGACCACCTTGAACTTCATGATGTAGGTTCTTCATAGCGGCAGCTCTTCACAAGAGCGACAAGGCCAACTGTTATTAGTAATTCCCCATTTGGGGTGAAATTTCTTGTACGTCACCTAATTGGGAGCTTTTCGCTTCAAAACCAATGCCATTTACTTAACATGCGTTCTTCCACCTTGGCCTGGATCAAGCCAGATCCCTACGGCAGGTAATTAATCACTTCCTTGTTATGTTTCAGTTTTGCCAAATATCTTGGAGGCTTTGTGCTATTGTGGGTATAATTTCTTTGCAAGGTTGTACTTGTTAGGATTGGTGTTATTGATGTGCTTCCATAGTCTTGATGTAAATTGACAGTTCTCTGTTTGGTAGTCAAGTTCACTTAAGCAAGTGCAAAAATCCTCGCTCGCTATTGTCCCGGCTGTAGCGGCACCCTCCTTCCAATGGGCCCATCCACCTCCTCGGTCGCCGATGCGGATCTGACGCATGTGTCCTCCCTGGATCCAGTGTCATCAGAGGTGCGTGTGAGGACAGGTCACGGCAGCACCCTTGGAAGGTCGCAGGCAACCCCTTGGGCAAGACGTATGCCACACCAGGCCGAGTGCCTGACGCTGGCGGTGAGGAAGCAGAGCAAGGGCGTCGGTGGCTACCTCGTGAGCACCCGGTGGCAGAAGAACTTCTGGCTCCTCGCTTGACCTGCCCATCCACCATGTCCACCACGATGGTGTTTTGTAATGTTTGCTGCTGAGTTTATCTGTACAGTTCCTACGTGATCCTCATATTTTACTCCCGTATATCTGTCCCATTCTGTGCATTTTAACCCGTCGATCGAGTATAAAAATAAAAAAGATGTCTGTGCGTGCATGCAATGCGCATGCGGCCATGTCGTGTGTCGCTGCGGTGGATCATGCTGCTGCCCCATGGTGTTGTGAAGTGTAAAGTCTGAAAGAGTCCTAGGATTTACCCTCCTACAGCCTTGCTGTCTTTTCAGTGTGTGTAATTTGTAGTACCAACTTTTTTTTATCTTTACTGCCGCGGGACTGTAATCTGTACCTGTTGTACCATCATCGTGTTGTGTTGCGCAAAAGACTGATGCTGTTGTTGAGTGCTTCTTGCTTGCTCAAGTATATTTGAGGTTTTTTTCACTGCAATGGTTTGCACTTTGCACCTATGTCCCAATGGCTTGCACCAAACAAAGCCACCACAATGGCAGATGAAAATTGGAAATCTAAAAGGAATGAGCACATAAAAAATATACTTGAGCAGCGATCTGAGTTAAAATTTAAATAATTGGGCGGTTTGATGTTTTTCACATAACTAAGACTTGAATCGTTACTAATGAATAACACCAAAAATCCAAATTGCAAAAAACCAAGAAGTTCAATTTAAAAAAATAGAATAGTACAATGTATATGAAAAACTCAGATTTTCCTCGTTACTAAATAATAAACCAAGAAGATATATTTAAAAGAATAGAGTAGTTCAATATTTATTGCAAAAAACTCAAATTTTTCCTGTTACTAATGAATAAACCAAGAAGTTCGGTTTGAAATAACGAAGAAGTTTGACATTTACTATAAAAAACTCCAATTTTTCACATTTCTAGAAAATACACAAAAGAGGTTCAAAAAATTTAAAAAACTCAGATATTCTCACGTAACCGAGAGAAGTTCAGGTTGATAACTGCCAGAAGTTCACGTACTACACAGTGTGCATTTTGTATGAAACAAAAGAATAAAAAAGCAAAGGCTAAAAAGTTTTTTTGCTGGAAGTTCAAGTGCTCGGCCCGAGAAAGTTCAAAAATTATTGTGAGAGGTTGAATAAAAATACGTGACAGAAGTTCAAGGTGAAAACAACGACAAGTTCAACTACTGCAAGGGATGCATTTCAAATGGGAATAAAAGTATAGAAAATTAAAAGCTTAAAAGGTTTGTTGAAAGAAGTTCAAGTGCTCTGTCCGGGGAAGTACTAAAATTCTTACAAGAGAGGTTAATCTTGTATTTCCATGTTCGATTTTTTCCGTATAAAAATCGAATACAATTCTTTACACAAAAATATAAAAAAGTGAAGTTCAAATTGAAATAACATAGAAGTTCAGAGTTTATTAAAACCTAGGATTTACCTTTCCAAAAAAAAGCACAACGCCATTTTTTTTACAGTTTTGGAAACAACCTCATAAACGTAAAAATGGTTGCTAGAAGTTCAAGTGCTCAGCGAGGGAAAGTTCAAAATTCTTGTGAGAGAGATTCACCGTGTATTTAGATGTCCAAAATACATAAAAAATATGTTGTTTTTTTGTGTTAAAATAATTCTCTCAAACCAGAGAGAAGTTCAAAGTGATAACAACCGGAAGTTCACGTACTACACGGTGTGTATTTCATATAAGAAAAATACAATAAAGTGAAACAAAGTGGAGTTCAAACAAACATGCCCAGGAAGTTCAACTACTTCACGCAGTGCAAAAAACATTACGTAAAAAAACAGCACGTCAAAAACGAAGTGAAGTTCAAACAGACATGCCCGAGAAGTTCAACTACTTCATGCAGTGCATTTCCGTTCGCGATAAACGCAGAAATCATGATCTCGCCATTTTCTAATTTACCTGAAAATGACAGGAATATTATTTGTGTAAATTCAAGTCCTGGTTCGGAGAAAGTTAAAAAATATATTGTGAGAGAGGTTTGTACAAAAAGAATATCATTTGTGTAACACTGACGAAATGGATGAGAAAATTACAAATGAGAATACGTCACAGAAATTCAACGTGAAAACAGCAGGAAGTTCACCTATACACTGAATGAATTTGAGATGAAAAACTTTTAAAATCGTTGCGAGTATGAAAAAATGATCAACACGGGAAATTTGCGTGTTTACAGCAGCTTTCCATCGGTATATCACCCGCTCAATTCCAGTGAGTGGATGGAGAGCTATGAGCAGTGAATGAAGAGCTACGAGCAAAAAAATCACGTGGAAAATAGAGTGAAGTTCAGGTACACGCACCGAGAAGTTCAGGTTCTTCACGCGGTGAATTTTCGAACAATCTGTTTCGCAATAGAGGCAGAACGAATGATCTCGCCCTTTTCTGAATTACTTTAAAACAACTACGAATCATAGAAAACCATCAACATGAAAAAGTTTCACATTTTCTGTAGCTTTTCAATGGTATATTATTTGCCCAATTCCGATAAAGTTTGTAGAAATTACGGTGAAAATACGTTTTTCACCATTTTTAGAACTGACTTAAAACCGTAAAGAATTGGGAGAAACAATACATACCAAAAAGTTTCGCCTTTGTTCAAGCTTTCCAACGCCATATCATTTGCTGCATTCGGACGCACGGTTAAAATATTAGCTCGAAAATAGGAATTCTATAGGACTTGGACCATTTTCTAATTTACTCTTAAACCATTCAAAATTACAAAAAAAACTTTCAAAATGAAAAAGTAGCACATTTTCATAAGCTTTTCAACGCCATATCATATGCCTCCATTGGATTAGCCGTTTAGAAATGACATCGAAAAAACGAACTCAGCTGTTCGGTTTACGAAATTTTACGTTTTTTCAAATTACTCTTTAACCATAGGGAATTAGAAAAAACTTTCAACATGTGGAAGGAGCGGTTTTGCAGCAGCTTTCCAACGCCATATTATATGCCTCATTTCGATAAAGGTTTAGAAATGCGATCGAAAATACGATTCGCGTTTTTTGTGTGAAGAAAAAACGGTTTTCAAAACTGCTCTTAAACCGCTTACATTTTGCGAAAAATTTAACTTGGGCCTTGATACTCGTGTCCATAGCTTTCCAACGGTATATAGCAAGCCATATTTGGGCAATGTTGCGGGAAGTTCAACCTAGCACAGGGGGAAGTTCAGGTCGAACAACTCAGGCAGTAAAATCGCAAAAAACGTGAGTTCTTCACGACCCGAGTGTAAATCCGCCTATGAGCGAGATTCCTATCTAAAACGAGTATTTAGTTGCTAAACGGTTTAGATATGCAATCGAAAATACGATCCATGTTTTTTGTATGAAGAAAAAACGGTTTTCAAAATTCCGATAAAGGTCGGGTTCGTACAGAGGGAAGTTCAGGCGCGTGTACAAACAAAAATACGTCACAGAAGTTCAACGTGAAAATAGCATGAAGTTCAACTACTACGCTGAATGAAATTTTGATGAAAAATTTTCAAAATTGTCGCGAGTATGAAAAAATGATCAACACGAGAAAGTTGCATGTTTACAGCAGCTTTCCATCGGTATATCACCCGCTCAATTCCTGTGAGTGGGATGGAGAGTTACGAGCAGTGGATGAAGATCTACAAGCAAAAAAATCACGTGAAAAACAGAGTGAAGTTTAGGTACACGCACCAAGAAGTTCAGGTTCTTCACGCGGTGAATTTTCGAAAAATCTGTTTCGCGGTAGAGGCAGAACGAATGATCCCGCCATTTTCGGAATTACTTGAAAATGGCTTGGAATCAGAGAAAACCATCAACATGAAAAAGTTTCGCATTTTCCGTAGCTTTTGAACGGCATATTATTTGACCAATTCCGATAAAGTTCGTACAAATTACGGCGAAAATACGTTTTTCTCCATTTTCGAAACTGACTTAAAATCGTAAAGAATTGGGAGAAACAATACATACCGAAAAGTTTCGCATTTGTTCAAGATTTCCAACGCCATATCATTTGCTGCATTCGGACGCATGGTTAAAAAATTAGCTCGAAAATACGAACTCGGTAGGACTTGGACCATTTTCTAAATTACTCCTAAACCATTCAAAATTAGAAAAAAACTTTCCAGATGAAAAAGAAGCGCATTTTCATAAGCTTTCCAACGCCATAGCATATGCCTCCATTGGATTAGCCGTTTAGAAATGACATCGAAAAAATGAACTCAACTGTTTGGTTTACAAAATTTTACGTTTTTTCAAATTACTCTTTAACCATAGGGAATTAGAAAAAACTTTCAACATGTGGAAGGAGCGGTTTTGCAACAGCTTTCCAACGCCATATTATATGCTTCATTCCGATAAACGGTTTAGAAATGCGATCGAAAATATGATTCACGTTTTTTGTGCGAAGAAAAAATGTTTTTTAAAACTGCTCTTAAACCGCTTATATTTTGCCAAAAAATAAAGTTGGGTCATGATATTGGTGTCCATAGCTTTCCAACGATATATAGCAAGCCCTATTTGATCAATGTGGCTGGAAGTTCAACCTAGTTCACAGAGAAGGTCAGGCGCGTTACTCACGCAGTTCAGGTTGTGATCAGAATATTATTCTGATCCCGTGATCAGAATAGTGTTTATGTGTGTGTGTGTGTATATATATATATATATTCTCTCTCTCATTGTCCGGGGTCTCATCCCAACTCGTGGGGGAATCATAGTCGCCACCATCCTTTCCTCACCGAGGCAATGCTCTAATAATGAAAGTTGATGGTCATCACACTTCTATTTACTTATAACTCAAAAGAAATAAAAATTACAACTTGATACCTATAACAAAATATGACTCTATAGGAATGCCTTTGGCAATACCAGGATGTGCAATGATCTAGCGTGACATCACTACTAGAAAAACCCCTACTAATGGCGCACCTAGTATGGCCATTAATGGCGCATCTATGGTGCGCCATTAACAACACGCCATTAGTAATTTTTACTAATGGCGCACCACCTGGTGCGCCATTAGTATCTG